AGAAAAGAGGAGAGGGAGGAAGGACAGGAGGGAAGGACCGTGAGAAAGGGAGTCTGTGAACAAAGAATGAAATCCTGAACCAGGTTAGTGTGAGCTGTTAAAAAAAAAAAAAAAAAAAAAAGGCAACAACCTTGCATTGAGAGCTCCTTAACATGGAAAATATGAGTCAACATCAGGCAAGGGATGAAAACAGGCAAGTGTTCACCGCCCAGTTACACTCTCTTTCCAGTGTGCTCTCGCCAAACCCGCACATTCCTGCTGCAGACAGGGAAGGCCCGAAGGTCCGCCTCAGAGACCGCCTCAGGAAACAGCAAGCAGGCGTCAGCTGCAGCTCCAGGATGGGTGCCATGGTGTTCCCTCCCGGCTCTCCCAGGAAGGAGCATGCCCTTGCTTATTCTCCAGAATGCTCTGGGTCCCAGGGTCCCTCTCCCCCCACCCCCAGAGATGTGGGCCTGCTACCTTGTTACAGCCCAGCGTGAGATCAACACCTGAGGCCAGCTCCAATCCAAGATGAGCTCATGATTGCTGCCAGAGAACCAGCTCCCCAGCCTCCAACAGCATTTGCAGCTGGAAAGACTGGCCTAAATGCAAAACAAATGCTATTTTCAGGAGAGACTTCTGGGGGAGGGGAGGGGAAAGAACAAAGCTAAAAGCACCAAGAGAGTACACCAGACCAGAACATTCCATGACATGCCGTACCTAAAAAGGGCTTTTTTAAAACACATTCTCAAGAAACGGTCATTGCAAGGGGCGAGCTGTGAAAGTTAAATAAAAACCCCTGCCCCTAGAAAGACAGGAATGAAGGACTAAACGATAGAATGGCTTATTGTATTAAGCTAATTAAGGCTTATCACATTAGCCATCTGAGTTTTCGTTGGCACCAGAAATGCAGGGGCCAACCCACCACGCAGTATAGATGGGGATATGCTCGACAAGCATTCTCTCGACCACAATTGTCTGCAGAACTTGGGCAGTCGAAAATGAGGTAGAATTGAAAACCAATTTTAGCACAGTGATTTGCAAAGAACCTTGTTCCATCGTGGAAGCTATTTGCTGGTATATCCGTCTGAGATCACATTTATCTCTATTAAATACTCCATAAAATATTCCGAGCTAGCCATGCACTCCAGTCTCCCCCCTTTTCTGACAGTGCCAGCACACAGGCGACTCTCTGCAGTGTCCCGACCCCCCACACACACCGCCGCCCCTAGAAATTCCAACAATAAAACCCCCTGGATACTTAATGCCCTCCACTGCTGACAGATGCCCACCACTGCCAGCACACAACTTCACCAATTCTCAGCTCCTTCGCATTTCTGACTAGACTAGTCTGCTGAAGCCAGAGAGGACATGATACGCACTTCAAAGAGAGAAAATGTATTTGCAATCAGGTCTCCCATGGGCTCCTCTTGACTGCACTTTTACCAACCCAGCAGAAAGAAAGGCAGAACCAGCTCTGCTGCTGAGATCATATTGGATCTGACTGGTGTGACTGGTTTCCTGTTTGGGGAAGTTGCAGTTCTTTGCACAAGGAACCCCCAAGGCAAAACGTTTAGTGTTCTCCTGGAAGCTCCCAGAGCCTTTGTTCCTCGCTAATTTGCTGCTCTCCTCTCCTCTCCTCTCCTCTCCAAGCTCTAGTCTCCATTTTTTTTTTTTTTTGCCGGCCCAATTCTAACTGCAGTAAAGCATTAGACATTTTCTTCCACCCACTACAGTGGGGCTGCAAGCTAACAGTCATTTCTACACAGATAAAACCCGGCAGACCTGGGTTCCTCCTAGTCCTTCGCTAGCATTCCACACTGAAATGGATGCCACAAATAATCCCATGGCAAACTCACTGTCGACAGCCCCCCAAATCAATAAAAGACATTCCACCACTTGACTGGAAAACCTTTCGGGTCAGCACGGAGAGCATGGAAAGAGGAGAGGTGATGGATGAACAAAAGACGAATCTACCTCCAGGCTCCTCCAGTCCTAAAAAGCTGGCTGGGCTACTTCGATTTGATGAAGCTCTTCTTTCTTTCTTTCTTTTTCTTTCTTTTTTTTACAATTGTGGGCAAAATGTGCCATGTGGACTGCTTCTATGCAGAAAGCAGTGCATTCTCCACAAGGCCCAGCCGCCTACCACCCTCTAGACATGCCTTTCCAGGCCTGCCTCTTTCAAATGCCCAGGCACATGCGATTTAATGAAGGCATTCAGATCGCTCCTTGATACCAACACCATCAAAAAAGTCAGTGGGACCCCTTACACATGGATAACGTGAAAGGTATGTGGTCCCCACTCTGAACCCCACTCATCTCCAGGGTACCAATCCACTGTCGGTCTGTGTCAGAATGGATGTGCAAATTAATATTTAAATTCATGCTAAAAATAGCATATCTCACCTTGTGAACCTTGACCTTTTGAAAAGACTTTGGACCAGTGCTCAGTTACTGTCGCACGGTTGCATTCTCTGCAAATAGGAAAGGGTTAAAAGCAGCCCCAGTCAACAGGCCTACAAGGGAGGAGAAAAAAAAAAAAAAGACAGCATGTATGGCTGACAGCATCACTGGAACGCATTTATGCTCGTGTCCTAGAACAATATTGTTACCTTTTGGCCTTCATCATAGTCCCAAGTATCCCCAACACCCTTTAGTAGCATCTACAAGGAAAAGCACAAAACAGAACATAGGCTGCAAGAGAAAAAAAGGCATGCAAAGTAGCAACAAACTGCCATTACAAACCCATCAGTTCATTCTGGTTGTTTCCTTAAAAACACACGGAGAGAGAGAGAGACTGCACAAACCAAGTGTCCCCACCCTAATAAGGCACATACTTTTTTTTTTCTTTAATAAGGGTCATAAATCTCAGCTCCTTGTCCATCCCTTAAGCAAAAGAAAAAAAAGGCAGGCAAAGCCCAACTCATCTGAGACCCTGCAGAGCTGCACCTTTCTCCCATCATCTCTACGCTGGCTCTTCTAGGGTGCCATTAGTCACGTACCAGTGCTGTGTGGTGTCTACGTGTGCGTTTACATACTGTGTTGGCATGGTACCTTCCTGCAAGGTCCTCTGCTTTTGGCTGCCATGAAGGGAGGAAGCTGCTATCCCACTGTAGTAGCTCAGTGACTGCATTGTGTTCAGGAGCTGATCTGCCTCAAACCAGTTTCAGCCGGTTCTGGTCACCCTACATAAAAAAGCTATGGCAACCCTCGCTGAGTTGCCAACAAGTCCCTGAAAATCATCAGCACAGGGTTGGGAGCTGGCTGGGGGTGGGGGGGTGGGGGGGGGAGGTTGCCTCTCCCTTTTAGGGCTTTCCTGAGGAGGGAAAGGTCATTGTGTGTGCCCCCTCCACACGAGCACAGAGCCCTGGAAATAAATGCTCACCTCGCGAGCCCCCCCAACAGCCTCTCGGGGCTCATCCCCCTCCCCTCCACCCTGAAGCCCACCGCAGACACTGCTTCTTTTTTTTTTTTTTTCTCTCTCCCCCTCCTTCTCTTTTTCCCCCACTTACCTCCCACAACCTGGCTCAGATCTTTGTGTACGTGTGTGTCAAGTGTGTGTTCTCTTGTGTTGGTGGCTGACAAAAGAGAGCCCCCAAGAAAGCAATTCTATGTGTGTGTCTCCTCACACAGGATGCGTCGTCGGCTTGCAGGAGCCGGCCTGGCCTCCTGAGCAGAGTGGTGCTGGCTGGTTGACCAGGCTCCTCTCTGCCTGTCACCCCCCACCCCACCCAGCCCCCTCCTCCCTTCCGTCCTTCTCCTCCAGCCCTGTCACCACCACCACCACCACCACCACCAGCAGCAGCAGCAGCAGCCCCCCCAGTCTCCTCCTCCTCCTCGTCCTCCAACCTTCTCTTCTTTCAAGCACCTGGGGGGGGGGGAGTATGGAGGGTGGGGGGGAGACGTCCAAATCCCTTCTTCACCTCTGGGTAGTACACTGCTGAGGTGTGGGGCGCTAGGGGGTCAAGTCAAGGGGCAGCTAGGGAAAGAGGGGGCACCCAGGCCTTGGGGGGGAAAAAAATCATCTGTGCACAAGCAGCTCTGGCGGGGGGGAGGCGAGCCCGCGCTCACGTGGCCCCCTCTGGAGCCGGTGGGGCCTAGCAACACCGGCCTTTGCCTCGGGGAGGGGGCCCCCCCACCTCCAGAAGCTTGGCTGGGCGCGAAGGCCGGCCGTCCCCAAGGCCAGGGTGGGACAGGCCGCCGCCACTCAGGCCAAGGGGCCCGAGCCTCGCGCTCGCCGTGACCCCGCGGGGTG